AGGCCCCACGACCGGACCCAAAAAAAAAAAAAAAAAAGCTTCCTGCGTAGCTAGGATTACAGAGGTGCACCACTGACACCGGGCTTAAGTTTTCTGTAGACACCACCAGCCCTGCTAAAGCGCATTAGCAGAAATGTTATGTTCACAGTTCTCAGAAAATGCGCGACAGGAGTCCTTACACTCAGGGCATGACTCCGAAGGTGCTCCTGTCGCGTGAACCTCTTGCCGCAGGTCTCGCAGGGGTACGGCCTCTCGCCGGTGTGTGATCGGATGTGGCGCTTCAGGATGCCTTTCTGCTTGGCCGTGTAAGGGCAGAAAGGACACTTGTGGAGCTTGATGGGGACCACCAGCATGTCACCTGAGGAACCCAATGGACTGGGTTAGCTATACTATAAGCAGCAACAACCCTGCCACCCTCTGGTGAACAGACAGGATTGGGAGTTGGAGGATTCTACCAGGAAGAAGTTCATCAGCAGGATACCCCATGAAATTTTCACTTTGGCTCCCAGAGTCAAGTGCAGTGCTAATGTCCAGCACTAACTGGTAAACTGAATGTGACTCACATTCAGAAATACAGCTCATATTACAATCTCAGAACACATAACTGGGAAAAAAAAAACCTCAAATAATACTCAATGTGTTCATACCTTGAAGCCTTAAGCCCTAATGTGAGTATATTTGGAGATAAGGCCTCTAAAGAGTTAACAGGCAAAAATGAGGTCACAGAGGTGGGGCTAGGGGAGCTCTTTGTCTCTCTCTTCACGTCTCCATCCCTCCCCACCCGTGGCACAGTCAAAGCAAATGGCACCTAAGGGCACTGTGCAAAGGTGGATGTCTGTAAACCAGCAGAGGCCTCAACTGCACCTTGACCTTGTACTCCCAGTTTTTCAGAACCCTAAGGAATATTGCTGTGAGCGCCACCCAGCCAGTCCCACTGTGCCACAGAAGCTGAGCTAATAGTGACCCTCTAAATCGATCTCATTGCCTTTGAAAGTTTGAAAAACTCCTAAGTCAGACTTCTGGACTGGAATGTGGGGATGGACAAAGATGCCCATAGTGATATCTCAAAAGATGGTTTGCTTGCTTGCCTGCCTGCCTACTTTCCTTCCTTCCTTCTTCCTTCCTTTTTTCCATGCCAGAACTGGGGCTTGAATTTAGGGTCTACATGCTGTTCCTTAGCTTTTTAGCTCAAGACTAGTGCTCTACAAGGTGAGCCACAGCTTCTGGTCATTAATTGAAGATCGGAGTCTTATAGAGTTCCCTGCCTAGGCTGGCTTTAAATCTCAATCCTCAGATCTCAACCTCCTCAGTTGCTAAGATTACAAGTTGGAGTCACCACCACCTAGAATCTCAGCATTTCTTTTCTTTTTCTTTTCTTTTTTGTCAGTCATGGGCCTGAACTCTGAGCCTTCAGCTCAAGGCTAGCGCTCTACTACTTGAGCCATAGTGCCACTTCTGGCTTTTTCTGCTTATGTGGTGCTGAGGAATCAAACCCAGAGCTTCATGCATGCACTCAACCACTCAGCCACCTTCCCAGCCCCCAACTCAGCATTTTTTTTTGGTCAGTCATGAGGCCTGAACTCTGGGCCTGGGCGCTGTCCCTCAGCTCTTCAGCTCAAGGCTAGCGCTCTACCACTTGAGCCATAGTACCACTTCTAGATTTTTCTGCTCATGTGGTGCTGAGGAATCGAACCCAGGGCCTCATGCATGCAAGGCAAGCACTTTACCACTGAGCCACCTTCCCAGCCCTAACAGCATTTCTTAACCAATTAAGTGGCCCAGGCTCTGTGGTCTCTATAAACAATGGAGTAACTCATTTCTCTAATATCTTCTCAGGATGTCTAGCTAGGGTACTATTAAAAAAAAAGAATGACAAGCAGAATTTCAAGGGAGAGCCCAACATTGTTTCATATCAGAGTGGAGATCATTCTCTTGGGTTTCTAGTTCTCAACCTGCTAATTAATGCCTGACATTCTGCAAAATCCATGGTGACTTCAACATCTGTTGATCTGCTTTTCCCTAAGAAAAAGCAGCATCTTACAGCTTACTGCTAGAGACATCAGTCAACTATGATCTTCCTCAGATCTCACTACAGAGCTGGAGATTCCTACAAAACAGGAAAGATTATGTTTCCTGGGACAAAAGCTGCAGCTCACACTTCATGCTGCCTACTTCCTGCCACTGTAGAGTCTTCATGTCATTTCCCCACACTGTGGCATTGTACAGCTCCCCTGATAAACTAGAAAAACACATAGCAAAGCCAGGCACCAGTGGCTCACACCTGAAATCCTAGCTACTCAGGAAGCAAAGATTTAAGGATCGAGGTTTGAAACCAGTTAGGACAGAAAAATATATGACACTCCTATCCCCAATTAACCAGTAAAAATCTGGAAGCAGAACTGTGGTTCAAGTGGTAGAGCACCAGCCCAGCCTTGGCTATTTCTTTTGCCAGTCCTGGGTCTTGAACTCAGGGCCTGAGCACTGTCTCTGAGCTTTGTTTGCTCAAGGCTAGCTAGCACTCTGTCACTTCAGCCATAGCGTCACTTCAGCCACAGCGTCACTTCTGGATGTTTTTTGTGTATGTGATACTGAGAAATCAAACCCAGCGCTTCATGCATGCTAGGCAAGCACTTTACATCTTCCTAGCCCCTTGAGTTTTTAGTTTTTTAAAAGCCAAGGAGAGAGCAAGGCCATGTTCAAGCCCTAGTACTGACATATACAAAAATAAATTCCAAATATAATAAAATAAAAATAATGTATATAAGTATATCACTTTAAGATTCAGGAGACTTGAGTATCTGCAGACTTTATTATGAGAGGGCAGTCCTGAAACCAGCTCCTCAAGCAGCAGCTGTGGAATGAGGTTGTAGAGGTAAAACACAAAAGACCCGTGTAGAAACAATGCTTTGTATACATGAGAGGCTCAGTTAATACCTACTGGAGGTGGTGGTGGTGATGATGATGGTGGTGATGATGACCATGACAATCCCAATGATGCGGGAGCAGAAGGCATACCAGGTGCGCTCTACATGCCTTCAGGGGTGATGAACGGGAAGGGAGCTCACCTGCGTCCTCCTCTCCATACCAGTCATTCTGAACGTCGATCACAGAACTCATGGCTATTCTTGCACTCACTGGCCTTCCCTCCAAGCCCCGAGACAAGTGATGTTCCGCGAGTTCTTTGCTCTGGGCAGCCCCACTGCGCAGGAGGGCTTCCAGGAGTTGCTTCATGTGGTAGTTGGTGTATGCCAAACCCATCGCCGGGCTGCTGGGCAGGCCCTCCTCCACGTGGGCCAGGCTCGGCGGGGCCATGAACTGCAGCTGCTGTTCACTCATCTCCACCTCCGCTCTGGCTCCATTAAGTTCCCCTTTGGGCTTTACTCTTCGGGGCAGAGAAGACAGGTAGTCACTGTCAGCCAAGCCACCACCCTTGCTGTCTTTCACCACCAGCTCCGAGGAGTGACAATCCCCGTAGCCGTCGCGAGGGGGCGATCTCGAGTGGTCCATGAGCCCTTCTTCCAAGGCTGGAGGGCAGCTCTTAGTACTACAGAAGGTCCCTTCCCTGCCTGAACTGGGTCTCCCATTGCTGTCCTGATGAGCTGCGGCTGCAGCCACGGCTGCCATGGCTGCAGCCACCGCAGCCTCCTTCTCCATCTTCTTGCAAATGTCCAGCGACGACCTGATGTAGGACTTGCAGAAGTTCACCACATCGTTCATCTGCAGGTAGCTGGCAGCCGACATAACTTCAATCACGTTCTCCCCACACAAATCCAACTTCCCAGAATAGAGGAAATCTAAAATGACAGCGAAGGCATCCGAGGTGACGATGTCCAAAGAGGCCGTGCTGTGCTGTCCGCTGTCCTGGATGTAGTGAATGAGCAGGGCGCGGAAGTAGCCGCTGTTTGCAAACAAGATGTTCCTGTGCGCCTTGAAGATGCGCCCTTCCACGATGATGCTGCAGTCGCAGAAAAAGTCCCTCTTCCGCTGTTCATTCAGCTCCCCCAGGAGCTTGGCACAGTACGACTGCACCTCCATCTCTCCAACCTCTGCTCTGCTCTCCAGGGGCTTGTATCCCTGCCAAGATTTTTTATTTGAGCGAATTCACAGATCCCAGCCTTAAAATTACGAGGTCCTTTCTAGCCCAGCCCCAATAGCTCACGACTATAATCTTTGCAACTCAGGAGGCTGAGATCTGAGGATCACAGTTCAAAGCCAGCCCTGGAAGGAAAGTCCCAGAGACTCTTATCTCTAATTACCACCAAAAAATCCAGAAGTAAAGCTGTGGTTTAAGTGATAGAGAGTTAGCTTGGGGCAAAAACGCTAAGGAATAGTGCCCCGGCTCTGAGTTCTAGCCCCAGTACTGGCATCATTAAAAATAAATAAACTGCAGCTGTTAGTGGCGGGCGCTATGGCTTCAAGGTTACTTTGCAGAGCCAGAGCACTGGCTCGCGGTCCCAACGGAACGCCAGTGGTGCACTCCATAGCATCAAGAAGTGGTGTTCCTACTGATGAGGAACAGGCTACTTGACTGGAAAGGGAGATCATAATGGCCACGCAAAAGGGACTGGACCCTTACAATATATTGGCCCCCAAAGCAGCTGCAGGCACCAAGGAAGACCCTAATTTGGTTCCATCCATCAGCAATAAGAGGATAGTGGGCTGCATTTGTGAAGAAGACAACTGTGATGGGCCACTGAACCCCATACTAATGTTCTTAGAATGTGCTGTAAAAATTCCTCTAAAACCAACTATGCCATTATGTTATAAGCTGTTGTAGATCCAACAAGAGGTTATCCACCTCAATGAGAAAGAACAAAAAAATATATATATATATATTTTTTTTTTTTTTTGGTGGTGGATCTTGAACTCGGCCTGGGGCGCTGTCCCTCAGCTCTTCAGCTCAAGGCTAGCACTCTACCACTTGAGCCACAGAGCCACTTCCAGTTTTCTGGTGGTTTATTGGAGATAAGAGTCTCACAGACTTTCCTGCCCAGGCAGTCTATGAACCGGAATTCTGAGAATTCAGCCTCCTGAGTAGCTAGGATTACAGGTGTGAGCCACCGGCACTCAGCTGCAAAAAAATTTTTTTGTGTAAAGCCAGCGCCAGTGGCTCACACCTGTAATCCTAGCTACTCAGGAGGCTGAGATCTGAAGATCGTGGTTCAAGGCCGGTTCAGGCAGAAAAGTCTGTGAGACTCTGATCTCCAATAAACCACTAGAAAACCGGAAATGGTGCTGTGGCTCAAGAGGTAGAGTGCTCGCCTTGAGCTGAAGAGCGCAGGGACAGCGCCCAGGCCCAGAGTTCAAGCCCCATGACCGACAAAAAAAAAAAAAAAACTTTTTTTTTTTTTTTTGGAAAGCTATAGCTAACTGCATTGTGAGCATAATATGTTTCACAAAGATTTTTTCCCCCTGGTACCGGGGCTTGAACTCAGAACTGGGACGCTATCTTTGACCTTTTTGTGCTCAAGGCTAGAGCTCTTCTACTTTGAGCTACACCTCCACTTCTGCTTTTCTGGTGGTTACTTGGAAATAAAGAGTCTCAGAGATTTTCATGCTGGGGCTGGCTTTGAATCATGATGCTGAGATCTCAGCCTCTTGAGTACCTGGGATTATAGGTGTGAGCCACCAGCACTTGGTATTTCTATGAATTTTTATAAAAACCATAAAAGGGCCAGGGATATGGTGGAACATGCCTGTAATCCCAGGATTCAGGAAGCTGAGGCAATAGTACCCTGAGTTTGAAGTCACCTTGGCTGAAAAAAAAAAACAACTCCAAAAATACTGATTTTGTCCCCGGTGTTTTCAATAAGGAAATGGAGAACAGGACATGATTTGGCCTTAACAGAGCTAGGACTCAGAACTGGATATGCTGGCCTCCATGGTCAATGTTTTTAGGCTCTGTGTACTACCATCTTCAAGACTCAAATTATTTTAAAAAATACCCAATCTGGTGGCTTGCACCTATAATCCTAGTTATTCAGATGGCTGAGATATGGAGAATAGAAGCTCAAAGCCAGGCCAAGCAAAATTGTCCAAGAGACTCCATCTCCAAAATAACCAGCAAAAAGCAGGACTAGAGGCATGACTCAAGTAGTAGAATGCCATGTGAGAGAGCAAGCAGTCTTGAGTCAAGACCTACTAAAAAGAAAGAAAGAAAAAAAAGGAAGGAAGGAAGGACCCAAATCTAAAAAGGATATAGTCAGCCAGGCAGCAGCTCATGCCTGTAATCCTAGATACTCAGGAGGCTGAGATCTGAGGATCATGGTTCAAAGCCAGCCCAGGCAGGAAAGTCTGTGAGACTCAGCTCCAATAAACCACCAGAAAACTGGAAGTGGCGCTGTGGCTCAAGTGGTAGAGCATTACCCTTTAGCTGAAGAGCTGAGGCCCAGGGTTCAAGCCCCACAACCAACAACAACAAAAATGATACAGTCATAATCTCCAGAGTTCCAATCTAGACTTTGAGACCAGTAAATCTAGTCTCAGCTCACACCTTTTATCATCATTTTATGGAGACATTTGGTGAACTCCTGGACTAATCAGCACAAATTCCCCATTATAGTCATCCAATTCCTTTCAGGTTTTCTTTTTCTTTCTCTAGGGCTGAGGACCAAACCCAGGGCCTTGCGCGCGCCAGGTGGGCACCCTTCCGCTGGACTAAACCCCCCTCCCTCAGGTTTTCATTTAAGTATCTTCTCCCTGTTCTTGGCCAAAGTGCTTTGCTTAAAGCTAGTGTCATCCATCCCCAGGTTCCAAGTATGTTAGGATGTATTATGATCGACATAGTCTATGATTGGCTCAGTGATGGTCATATAGCTAAGTCATAGCCAATGAAAAGCAGCAAAACCCTTATTGAGCTTTCTGACAGTACTATGCATGTGTGGGCATGCAGGAAGTGAAGGCTGCTGCCACCACAGACCAGGAAAACCAGCCTGAGAAGGTTTCTAGCCCAGTTCAACTGATGGGATCTGAGGACACCCTCAGAAGCCAAATACGCCTTTTTTTGGTTTTAGCTTGCCTGAGTTTAATTTTCTATTACAATGGACAGACTCCTGACTGAAATCTTGGTGTTTAGCTCCTTCCTATTATTTTTTTCCTGGCAACTCTGTCAGTGAATCACAAATCCTTTGAAGGGATGAGTCCTGTCTTATCCAGTTTGATATCCCTCATAGCACCTGGCAGAGAGCTCTGGATATAACATGTTTTCAAGTTAAAAGGCATACATACTCTTTTTTTTTTTGTCTGTCGTGGGGCTTGAACTCTGGGCGTGGGCCCTGTCCCTCAGCTCTTCAGCTCAAGGCGATCACTCTTCCACTTGAGCCACAACACCACTTCCAGTTTTCTGGTGGTTATTTGGAAATAAGAGTCTCATAGATTTTTCTGCCAAGGCTGGCTCTGAACCAAGATCCTCAGATCTCAGCCTCCTGAGTAGCTAGGATTGTAGGGGTGAGCCACCAGAGCCCAGCACATACTTCTTTTTAAACTGCTAAGTAGGACAGTATAAATCAAGTTGAAAATCTGTCTGGTGAAGAATAAAGACAGACATCCTTACCTTCTTTTTCAAGCATTCCCTTCTTCCATAACCTACCATACAAATCACAAGAATTCATTAATTACTCCTTTACCTACTGACCCATTGAACTCAGAGAAGTTCCTCTAATCAAGTACAATCAACCCTCCACATTTGCATGTATTCATTCATCTACATTTTTTTTTTGGTCGGTCGTGAGGCCTTTCTTTTTTTTTTTTTTTTTGGGTCTGGTCGTGGGGCCTGAACTCTGGGCCTGGGCACTGTCCCTCAGTCTTCAGCTCAAGGCTAGCGCTCTACCACTTGAGGCACAGTGCCACTTCTGGGTTTTTTCTTTTTGCTCATGTGGTGCTGAGGAATTGAACCCAGGGCCTCAGGCATGCAAGGCAAACGCTCTACCACTAAGCCACCTTCCCAGCCCCGTGAGGCTTGAACTCTGAGCTTGGGTACTGTCCCTATGCTCTTCAGCTCAAGGCAAGTGCTCTACCGCTTGAGCCACAGCGCCACTTCTGGTTTTCTAGTGGTTTATTGGAGATAAGAGTGTCATGGACTTTCCTGCCTGGGCTGGCTTTGAACCACAATCCTCAGATCTCAGCCTCCTGAGCAGCTAGGATTACAGGCGTGAGTCACTGGTGCCCAGCTCATCTACATATTTAATTACTTGTGTACTGAAAATATTTGGGAGACAAAATTGTGTCTGTACTGAACATGTGCAGACCTTCTTCTTATAATTATTCCCTAAAGTATACAGTAGTATCGTTGAGCTGGTGGTTCATACCTATAATCCTAGCTACTCAGGAGGTTGAGATCTGAGGATCTCAAGTGAAGGTGTAACTCAAAATGGTAGAACACCAGGTTTAAGAGAAAAAAAAACAAGGCTGGCTGGGTGCCAGTGTCTCACACTAGTGAGTCTCCTCAAGAGACTAGGATCACACTTCAAAGCATTCAATGCCAGCCTTGGCAGACAAATCTGACATTTTTGGGCTGGAAAGGTGGCTCAGTGGTAGAGCGCTTGCCTTGCATGCCTGAGGCCCTGGGTTTGATTCCTCAACACCACATCAGCAAGAAGAAAAAAGCCAGAAGTGGCTCTGTGGCTCAAGTGGTAGAGTGCTAGCCTTGAGCTAAAGAGCTGAGGGACAGCACCCAGGCCCAGAGTTCAGGCCCCATGACTGGACCCCCCCCCAAAAAAAATCTGACATTCTTGCTTTTTGTTTGTTGTTATTGTTGTTTTGTCACGGGGCTTGGAATCAGGACCTGAGTGCTGTCCCTGAGCTCTTTTGCTCAAGGCTGGCTCTACCACTTTGAGCCACAGTGCCACTTCTGGTTTTCTGGAGATAAGGGTCTCACAGACTTTCCTGCCCAAGCTGGCTTTGAACTGCAATCCTCAGATCTCAGCCTCCTGAGTAGCTAGAATTACAGGCATGGGTTACAAGCACCCAGATAACATTCTTATCTCCAATTAACCAGAGGAAAAAAAAGACGGAAGTGAAGTAGTAGAGAGCCGACT